TAAGGAAAGGGTGCCGCTCCAAAACCGACCCTACGCTGACACACCTCAACTAACTGGAGTGTTAATGACTGTGGTCACAATAACAGCTAACGACTGTATCTGGCAGAACCTAACCAAGCGGCAGAGTTCGTGATAATGAGCACAAGAGGGAAAGAAGATGGCTTATGAAGGGACGATAACGCCCCATTTCTTTTTCTTCTTCAACGATTTTGATCCCCATTCGGAGCTGTTCGGTTTGAAAGGGGCATTTTGCACTCTCGCTAGTTCCTTCTGCTAGTCGATGCAGGCCTCATTTTGGTGAGACCTGTAAACTCTTGTGAATTTGCAAACTGCTACAAATGAGCCATTTTGATTGCGAGAAATGACAGGTTTTCACGGGTTTACAGGCTTTCTAAGTACCATTTTGTGCCCCCTCCAAGCAGAAGTACGCCTTTGCATTAGTTATTGTTGAATACGTATCGTTATAGGTACATCTTCTTCATGCATGTGTACCGGTTCAACAGCCTCCGGTACGTCAATTTCACGGTCGAGATCGGACGATGAGTTGTAGCACGAACACGAGTGCTTCCTAGACTCAGCCTCCAGTAAAGATGTCATCAAATTTGCCTCCAGTTCACTTCAGGGGTTGGAGGCGTATTTCAACAAATTCTTTGAATTCTACAATAAGCAAAAATTATGGAATTAGCATTACCACCGGTATAGTAATCCCATATATAGTAGAACAACCAAAAAATTTCTCTAGAAATCCTTCCATTTTCAATTGTCAAACTGCAGGTCTTCCTCTTGAAGACACAAGTTACGCTGGTCGTGAAGGCGGAGGCAGTAAACGGTTGTGCTTTATTCATTGGTGCGCCACTCCTTCTAATACAGCAAGGAGAAAAGGCACACCAAAAAAGGAGGCGCAATGGTTGACTATCTCCGCCCACATGAACAGCGTGGGCTGTGTCTTAAATGGACAGGATATTTTATTGCAAATGACTTCAAAGCTAGAACATCGGAAGGAAAAGGGGAGTGATCGTTCCTATTCAACTTTTATATTCTCCGAAGTTGGTATTCTGTCTGTATATAGAGTGAAGACCTGTGGAGTAAATTTTGGAGGTGGGCATGACCAGTGTATTTTTCCTTTTATATCGTTCATCATTCTCTTATTATTCTTTTTACTGCATGCTGTTTTTATCGGCTTTTACGGGATTTCTCGTTGCTTTTCTCAGAATTTTTGTGAGAAGTTTCATGAACGTGTCTTCAGACACGGTGTAAGTATTGTATTATGCGAATTGGTCAGGGTCGTTACCGTAGCACAGGGCCGATGAAAAAATCTGGAGCACGTCAGATTTCGAGTTGTGAGTTGGGAAATCGGCAGAAAAACTCACAAGAATCAGAGCAAGTTTGGCGAAATGCTATTTCATGAATTCATGGATTGGGTTCCATGGTCCCTCTTTACCAATAATCTCATGCTCATCCTTGAAGGCAGGGTACGTGATCGCTGGGGGCGGACGGTTGTTGTGAGTGTGATTGGTGGAAGGGCTGCAGGAAGGCGTTTAGCCACACTCTCCTCAGCCCTTCCGCCTTGACACTGGAAGCAACCGCCCGCCCCAGCGATCGTGCCCACTGCCTTAAAGGTGTCTCAATTACAGACAATATCTTGAGTATCAGAAACGTGATACTTTGCATACCGCTGGGGCTGGGAAGTACGGAAATCGGAAAGCGGAAGATCTTAACCGTAGGTCATTCCTTTTTGGGTCTAACACCCATTGCAAGTCCAAATACCTAATGAGATCCTGATCTTTTTTTGGCGCTTCTTGGAACTCTATAGTTCCTATTGGAACTCTATAGTTCCTATTTCCTAACAGTCGTAGTTCTTTGGCTTGTTTCTTTAAATGCAATTTAAAAAATTGTTCCGGGGCAACCCACGCGCTGTTTGCAAGCACCTTTTCTATCAAACTCGAGGCGACATTGTGACTACTCCATTACTTTCCTGTCAAACTAGTAAGAAAGCTGAATTCGGGCTGCTTACCAGTTTGGCAGCTGTGGCCTGCGTTGCGTAAAACCAGGCTATTACCCTAGGTTCGATGCAATCCACGCCGATCACGTGGGCGGAGCTGGTGAACTACTGTTTCATTCCCCATTGGCTCTCCTCTCCTCTTCACCGTCATGAAATAGGGGGCACATGGGGGATGCGAAGAGGTTGGCTGGGTCCGCCCACACGGTCAGCATGGGCTGCCTTTTGAGATCCCACCAACACCTAAACTGCTACGGTAATGAGTCTGACGTTTATCAATATCCCGGTGTGTTATATATCCCGTTCGTTCTGTATAATCCCGATATGTGTTCCATTCGTGCATTATATGCTTTACTGCTCTTTAGACGGCCTTATCATTGACTCATATTCTATTACCCATTTCTTTTTTTTGCAGCCCGAAAAAAATTGAAACAAAAATGCTATTTTCGCACAAAAAAATGTGTATATATTAGTCGGAGTTGTTTTATGTGGTCTTAATTGGCATAAGTTAACTGGTTTCTTTTTTCATATTTATCGATTGTCGTCTTAATATCCTCAGATAAGGTTTGTCTTCATAATGTTGCCTACGTGCATTGAAACCTCTTAATATGCGAATTCACTACCGTCATTATTCGATTTAATGTGATGTGTATTTGCATGTGTTCTGAAATATCGATTTGCGCTCTATCACAGTCGAATAAGCATGCACCCGTTGCGAGACGGAGGCGTGGTTATGGAACTGTTTTAGGTCTTTTCATCCATTTTTCGTCCCACTCTTCAGGTTCTTTTTGAAGGTTTCTTCAAAGTTCTTTTTTTTGTAACCTGGAACAACTGCTAGGTTTCTTTCAGGAGCTCTTTGCTTCAGAGAAACATTCCGCGATTATCGGATGGGCGGGGCCCATAACCCACCTGCCCTCCTTCTAATGTGGTTAAGAGAAGGACGCCGGCATTGTGGAAGCAAAGACGGTTTTGAGTCTATGTCGGGAGACGGACAAGACAATCGTAATTTGCCGAACGTCGCGCGCGGCGTATCGCCAGTGTGCGCGGCAAGTTCTCGATCTGCGTCAGTTTGTCGATTGGAGCAGGGAATACATGGGAACTCGAGCGGAGGCACGACTGCCTTCTAATAATATCGCTTCCCCGTCACTTTAAGACTGAAAATTGGACGGCCACCCAGCACAAGTCGTCCTTCGCGTCGCTCACCACGCCCAATACCCGGTGCCCAGCATTGTACGATGGTCTTGTCACATAAGTTCTGTGCCTAACCGGTTATCGCGGAATGTTTCTCGAAGAATCCCTGTGAATTCAGCCATAATGTGTCCTACAGCTCTCAGTTACGTTGTGCACGTGCGGACAGTGCCTCAGATTGGTCAGTTGCATGCACCCACCAATCAAAGGTAGTCCCAAACGTGCCATATATCTGAGGCTACAGTAGCCATTACGCCTGAATTCAATTCAAACATCTTTTCGAAATTTAATGCTCTATTGAAGTAGCGGCTTTTATTGATACCAGTGATCTTTACCTCAAAATGTGTAAGAGTTTATGAAACAATTCCTTCGTTTGTTTGTTCGTTTGTTTTTGTATTTGGTCCATAAACATGAAGGACAACCACGAATTATTTGTAATTTGTAGATGTCAAAATATATTTGAAATGTTAATTGTTAGGCGTTTGAACAGCTTTGAGGTACAATAGCTACCATGTAAGTTGGGGAGGCATGGTTAAAGCCTGGATTGATTAGAACTCGAAGTACTGCGGGGTGTACAGCGTGTGTCGCCGCTGATAAAAGCGCGCCGCGAGACGCTAATGTGGCGAAACCGCTTGTTGAGTGTCAAGTCGATCAACCTAGGCGTTAATTCGTCGCGCGCGGCGACTCGTAGGAACAAAAGCAACGTCGCCCTCCTAGAGGCGTCGGTGCTCCATGCACCGTTTTGTAACAGCCACTTTCTGCGCAGCTTTGTCGTATTCAACCTTCGCATCCATGGCTTTCCCATTGATGACTGGGGTCCTCTCAGTTGTCACTCATTCTGCAACTTTTCGTTCACGCTGGCAAAGCTCTAGCCTCTTGCAGAAAGTGAATAAGTACGAAGTACAAATAAGTAACCCAAAATGACCGCGGAAACGGTTTCTCAAATTCTTTCCAGGGTATATCTTTGGTAGAGCAAACGTGGAGCTGGGAGTGTTTTGGTATTTCTCCACGATATGCATCTCACCAATCCGACGTGGGTTCATCATGAAGGTGAAGTTTTTTGTACTTTCTTTTTACTCTCGCGATGTTCTGTAATTTGTTTTTTTGAGAAATTCTTTCAGTTATCCCAACTAGGTTCAGGCATAGGTTACAGTGAACAGTTTCAGTGCTACCGTATTACAGGTGGTGCTATTTACTCCGTGGATATCCATCCGACAATGGATAAGCTAGCAACCTGCGGTCAAGGAGATGTGGGTTTCATAGTGATTGTCATGCTCGATATCAGACCCGTATTTGGCCCTAGTTCAACACACCAGGCCTTTTGGTGCAGAGCACCGAAGGCGTCAAAACTACTAGTAACATATTTCGGCACTGTAAACTATTTACTGCCCCTATTGCCGAAACTCCGGACAGATTTTGACAAAAATTTTGAGATTCGGATGCAATTTCATCATCGGGATAGTTCGGCCCTCTAAACACATGGATCAAAACTGTTCAGCGCCAGAATATAGTTGATGTCGCAACCCGGCTGGGGGTGTCAGGAGGCGT